GTGTGACAGCCTGAATGTTTGAAATTGCCTGGTGACAGTTGATTTTCAACCCAGTGGACAGGAACATTTGGATGTTTTTAAATATCTAAGATGATTTTACTGTAACCCTATATATATATTTTTTTTCTTAGAATTTTCTGTGCTTTTAATAGCACCATTAGGGCTGGGTGTCTGATCCGAAGGCAGTCACCACTCAAACTGCCCCGTGCAATAGGGAAGTGATGTTACATCCATTTTCCAGCAGAAGTAATTATTCTGTAGGCACAGGGTTGAAATGATCCATTCCAAGAACACAGGGAGAAGCATGGAGCAGAAAACAACACAGACATCCTGTGTTCCCGTTGTGACCACAAAAACCACAGCTGCTTTTTCTTTTTTTTTTTTTTTTTTCCCACTTTAAAAGCTTTTTGAACAGAGATTTTTTTTTTTTTTTTTTTTTTTTTTTTTTTTGTCAGCTGAGGGTTGAAGTAAATCCTTGGTTAGCTCCACTGAATTCCATCAGTCAAGGATGTGAGTACACTCCACTGATATTAAGCTACTTCAGCTGCAGTGGGGAATGTCTGATCCTTTGCCTGGGTGGTATTTTTTTGGGGTTGTTTTTTTTTGGGGTTTTTTTTGGTATTTTGAGGATATAATAAAAGCCAGGTGAGAGTGTGTTGCAAACCTGTGTGCCAGCTATGAGCAACAGCTGACACCAGAGACTAAACAGTATTTAAGCCACTTGGCAAAGCTTACACAGGTCCAGTAATTGTAGGTGGATGAGAGCTTGCAGAGGGTCATTAGGTTCCTGATGGAGGAAACACTGCTGAAAGGCAGAAGAGGAAATGACAGATTTAATGAGTAGTGGTCACAAGCTGAACTACAAAGAGCAGTTGGTGTCTGTGTTTTCCTACAAGGACGATCACAGCAGAACCAAGGCCAGACAGTCCCTGCACTGTCTCTGATGGCAAGACCCCTCCAAACCAGAGTGACAAATGGCATCAGGGAAAAGCCTTTGACCCGTAGAAAGAGTGGCTGCATTTCATTTCTGCAGGCAGAGAACTGAACCCTTGGAGCAGGGCAATGTCCTTCTGCTTCCACCAGGGAAGAGAGTGCCAAGCCTTTAGCAGTCCTACCATCAAAGCATTGTCTCTGGAAGGAAATTGGCATTAAAAGCAGGTTGTCACTGTTAGTAACAGTTCCAAAAGCTGAAAGATAGATCTAGGTGCAGTATCAGGCATGCATGAAAAGAGAGAGGTGTTTGGTAGGTAGAATTTATCATGCTACTCAAACTGTGCTTGTCATAGTCAAAGAGCCTTTGGAGCACACGCTTGGATGCAACAGGACTGGTAAGAGAATCTCTGGTCTGTCCCTGAGCAGAGCTGCACTCTGTGTTGATCCTAGAGCTTTTATGCTTTTATGAACACAGCTAACGATGACATGATTCAAGATTGTGTGAAGGGCTCGGAGGGAGAATCAGTAAAACATCAAATAACGATGTCAGACTTCTCATGCATGACCAGCTAAATGCAAAAGTGTTGTTCCCGCAGAGACTTGAAAGGATCAGCAGTTGGGATTTGCTTCCAAAATGAAAAAGGAAAATTTTCAGGCCAATTTTTGCTTTTGACAGGTGAAACACCATCTGAATTAAGATGGTGGGTACATATTGTGAATGAAATTGGGCACAGATGCTTGTGAACATGGGAGGGGAGGGAAGGAGAGGAAAGGAAAAGAGAAATGTGACAAAACTGGCTATATTTCTAAGATAGTTCTGTATTTGTTCAACAAAAGCCATAAAAGGTGACCTTACTGCAGGGGTGATGAGGTACAATGCTCTGACTCTGTTAGCCAGGATGGGTACTACAGGCAGTTCTGATTGTCACACTTAACCCCAGGAATAAACAAGAGACCATAAATGGTTTTAATGAGTGAAAAATGACACCAAAATAAGCCAGGGGAAAAGGACTGCTGAATGATTATTGACTTGGAAGTTGGGGTCTGTCCATGATCTGTTACCCCAGAGGGTTTTCTCTGAGAAACAAAAAGCTCACGTGCTGCTGTTCACATTGATATCCAATTCTTCTATTCCAGGTCCCTTGTGTAACTTTGTCAAAGCTCACAGACTTCCTCCCAAGCCCCATGAAGTGCCTAACTTTAGGACTCCAGGAAAGGAGCTGGTTCTTGGTGGATGCTTAGAAGAACAAAAATGACAGTGGACAGCTTGTTCCCTCATATTGGCATAGAGATTGCTGGTATTGCAAGCAAATAATGTTTCCCTGCTTCCCAAAGGGAGAATGGAAAGCTGGAACACCATCCTGGAGTAAAGAGACAGGTGTCAGTAGGGAAAAAAAGAAAGCTTTTGTTCTCATTAACTGTGTTCATCTGAATGGAAAATCCAGGCAAGGAGACTGGCAGGCCTGCAGTTCACAATGCCAGGTCTCCTGGTTTCTAATTTTAGGACAAAGTACTCCTGCCCACACTGCCTTTCCCAAACACCCCGTTACACTTTTTTTCAGAGGGTAATTTCATAAGGTCTCATAGAAGCAGGGACTAGGCAGATGTACTTGCAGAATGTGAAGAGAAGAAACTGTGTAAGTAAAAAAAAAAAACTATCCTTTTTCTCAGGGTAGAATCCAGAGTGGATGTGATCAGCACTGTTTTAGGAAGCACTGGCTTGAGTGTGCAACAGGATTTGTACTCTCCTACAAGAGTGCAAAAGAAATGAAACAAACCTCCAGCCATGTGACAGAAAGGGTATGGTGTTGGGTACAAATCTGGGTTCTGAGCCTGAGCAAACTGCCCATCCCTTATGGACATCTATAGTAAAACACAGTGAACCCTGGATCCAGGGAGAAATGATGATGTCTGGCTCCAGATCAGCAGGCTGAAGGATAGCTTTATTAAAACTATACTATATTATATTAATATACTATTTAAAGAGATACTATACTATTTTAGATAATTACTTCTTACTTACCAATCTAACAAACCAACTCGTGACTCTCTGCTGAGACCCCGAGCCACAGCTGGATCCATTGGTCACTGAACCCAAACAACTTCACCAGAACCCAACCCAGCAATCACTGCAGGTGAACAATCTCCACACCACATTCCACATGGGGAAAAAATGGAGCAGAGATAAAGATTGTTTTCTCTTCTCTCTGTGCTTCTCGAAGAAATCCTGAGAGACAGAATTATGTCTCTCTGTCCAGAGAATGTGACTGTCACAGACATCTGTTTTTCCTGCCCACTCTTGCTGCCTGGATCACCACATCTAACAGCTGTGTGGGTGCAGAGTCTGTTGTGCTGCTCTTGCTGCCAGTGTTGGACACCTCACACCTTTTCTACCAACACAAATCGAAAGCTGGCAGAGACTCGCTGTTAAACTCACTTTTCTTTCCTCACTGTCACATCAAGAGTTTCAAATCTTCTTAGTGTTATGTTGCAGAGGTGTGTGTTTAGTGGAAACCAGCCTTCCTTGCCAGTGGGAAATACCCCCTTTGCAGGCAGCAGGGCACCCCTTTCTTGCACACCCTTTTGATGAGGCTCTTGGCGTGGCAGTGCACGTGGGTGGCTCTCTGGCAGCTCTGAGTAAGCTGCAAGAGGATGTCAGCACTGCCAGACTTGGCCCAGCTTCATGTCAACCAAGACACTGTGGGGGAAGCCTGACTGCAAACAAAAGCAAAGCCAACTGCACTGTTTGTCCTCGTCCAAATGAAGGCAAAGGCAAACAGGGAAGATTTATAAACTGTGTTTTTTCCATTATTTCTAATATGATAAAGAGACATGTTGTCTTCTAAGCACTGCAATCCCACAGCAGTGTTTTCCTTGGGCATGAGCCAAAGTTTTGGCTCCTCTTTTCTTTTACCAAACATGAGCCCTCTGGGATGAGTCACTGGTTCTCAATGGGCTGCAGCTGCTGAGCCAGGAAAAGGAGCCCTTGGTGCACAGAGAAGGGATCAGGAGACGATGTGTCATGGGGGTTACACTGGGAACCACATCACTTCCCACAGCCAGGCTGCATGCAGGGCACCACCAGCCCTGGAGGAGATGGACACGAAGCCAGGACTCCCCAGGACCCACTGGGGTCTGGGTACCACATTTAATCTCTGGTCAGCTGGTCAGAGTCCATGTGGCTTCACCAAAAACTCCATTTCAGCAATTCAGGTACTTAAATGAGCTGCAGCAACTCATTGCTGCAAACCTGGATCCTGAATCATCACCAGCCCCTTGCTGCAAAGTGTTAACCCTTATCCATTTCTCTCCCATCCCAGGACAATCAGTGGAGTTACACAAGGGAAGCAGGCGGCTGGAGAACTCATAAACCAAGCATTTCACAGAATCACAGAATCGTTTAAGTTGGAAAAGACCTCGAGTAAAACCATTAACCCAGCACTGCCACATCCGCCACTAAGCCGCGTTCCTAAGGATGGTGACTCCACTGCTCCCTTGAGCAGGCAGTTCCTGTGCTTGGTTTCCTCTTATGAGAGTAGCTGAATGAAAAACTAAAAGGATCCTGAGGGACAATTCAGTGAGTAAGGGATGTGTGACCACTGGTGCCCAATGTCAGCTGACGGAAGCCATAGGATGAGGCCAAACCTTTTCATTTCAGCCACTTTTGTCAGTGCTGAGAACCAAGTACATTAAATATTGCTCATCTGCAGCTTGCCTTCTGTCGGTGGGCAGGTGACAAGCTCTCTGCAAAGCGGGTTCCTGCGTTAGTGGCCCTCACATCGCAGCGGTGGCATTGAAAGGATCAACCCCGTCAGAGCAGGGCGAGGCCCGGAGTCACCGACCTCAGCACAGGGCCGCTGTCACCGCGGCTGAGCCTCAGCAGTTCGCTGGCGCTGTGAAAGATAAAGACATTTTAAAAGAGAAAGAGGTTAAAAAAAACCACGCAGCAATAAGAGGCAGGGGCACGGCTCTGCTGAGAGCAGCGGGACCGCGGAGCGAGGGAAGAGAACTCCCCGCGGTCCCTCAGGGAGGCACTGAGGGCGGGCGCGGGGATCCGGAGCAGGACGGCTCCTCCCCGCTGGGGCGGGATGAGAGGCCGGGCAGAGGGGCACGGAGCCGGCCCGGGAGAGGTGGGAGCCGGCCCGGGAGAGGTGGGAGAGGCCACACCGAGTGGGAATGTCGGGGACAGCGGGCACGGCCATCTGCCTGTTGCGCTGCGACCTGCGCGCCCACGACAACCAGGTAGGAGCGCCGCGGGTTTCTGTGGGGCCAGCCCCGCTGGTGGGCAGGGTGAGGAGGGATTCTCCTGCATCCCGCCCCGCAGCTCTCACCGCCCGCTCTGTGTTTCTCCAGGTGCTCCACTGGGCTCAACACAACGCAGATTTCGTGATTCCCCTCTACTGCTTCGACCCGCGGCACTACCTGGGCACCCACTGCTACCGCCTGCCGAAGACAGGGCCCCACAGGCTCAGGTTTCTGCTGGAAAGTGTGAGGGATCTGAGGGAAACGCTCAAGAAAAAAGGAAGGTAGTTGAGGAAGCACCATGTAAACACCAAATACATCTCTGTTTTCCTAATCCCTTTCAGCACATGCCTGTGCTGTGACCCGGATCGTGTCGGGTGCTCTGGGCTCCGGTGGTGGCTGATTTCAGAGCCACAGCCCCTGCTGTGGTCACCTGCCGGGGGACAAAGAGCCATCCAGGCTCTGTGCATGGATTTTGTTGTCTCAGGTACCCCAGATGAGTGTCAGCCTTGAGTGCTTTGCCCAGAGTGCTGACAGTGGGAAACGTGAGCGGCAGAATTTTGAGATGTGGGCAATTACAGTAGCCACTGTGGCCAGGAGCCTTCCTGGAGAGCTTTCCTGGGAATTGGCTTGAGACAGACCAACAAGGAGCCTGACTTCTGAGACTGGAGAGTAACATTTCCTTATGCCCTGTCCCACTAAACCAGTCTCTGGACTCAGATATTCTTGTTTATGATGCTTTTAGAAACATCATTGGAGTAGACCAGGGCCTGAAGAATCCACTACCAGATAATATCTGGCTTTGCAGAGCAAAAGAGCATGGAGTCATAGAATAGATTGGGTTGGAAGGGAACTTTAAAGGCCATCTAGTCCAGTCCCCCTGCAATGAGTAGGGGACATCTTCAACCAGATCAGGTTCAGAGCCCTGTTCAGTCTGACTTTAAATATTTCCAAGGATGGGGCAACCTCTCTGAGAAACTTGGACAAGGTGGATCAGCCAGCTCTTGAATCTCTTTAGTGTGTGAGGATGAACAGATTCACTTTTAGGTAACAGCCTGGCTTGTGCCCAGGCATCCTTTCTGAGGCATCCAGAGTGGCAGAAATGTGTTTGACACAAACTAAACCCAGAGGCTTACAAACTCTGTTCAGTGGCTCCTAAAAAATGCAGGCTGGTCAAATCCTGTCTGCCTGCCTCCACACACTGTTTGTGCTCCATAGAAAACTAGGACACGAGTGCCTGCCTGGGCTGGGATGATGGCCTCTTGTGCACATAAATAACAATAACATCAAACCTATTTCAGGCCAATATTTTGTATTTTAGTACCCTGGTTGTGAGGAAGGGGAAGCCGGAAGATGTGGTCTGTGATCTGATTACTCAGCTGGGCTCTGTCACTGCTGTGGTTTTCCATGAAGAGGTAAGGGAAATACTCGAGTGACACAGTTAAAAAGTAAAATCATGCTGTGAAGGTTTCTTCCACGACCAAGTGGTGATGCAGATCCTGTGTGTTCAGAGCCTTTCTTGGCTGTGGTGTTGTTAACCTTGGGGGAACTGGGTAGTTCCTGGGATGGGGACTGCCTGAGTGGGAGGAAGGCAATGTGGAGAAGCATGAGGAGGGCAAAACCAGGGACCAGGGCTTTTATGCATGTGGGAGCTGCATTTGGCCTCACTTTTTTGTTCTCCCTAGGCCACGCAGGAGGAGCTGGATGTGGAGAAGGGGCTGTGCCAGGTGTGCAGGCAGCACGGGGTGAAGATTCAGACATTTTGGGGCTCCACGCTCTATCATCGGGATGATCTTCCCTTCAGGCCTATTGACAGGTGGGCTGCCCCGTGGTGTCACCCCTCCACTGTGGCTTTTGTTTCTCACTCAGGAGGGCTCCCAGTCCTCTGGTCCCACAGGGAAAGGACCTATTAGTCTATCTGTTTGTGCTTTTATGGAGCAGTGCCACCATGCTCAGGCACACAAAGGGAAGCAACACATTCAGCCCTCTGCACTAGTAGGATTTATGCTTCTCTGTGTATAAAGCCAAAGTGTGTGTTTGACCATTCATTGAGGAACTGGAAAAGACCTCTGAGATCATCAAATCCAACCATTAACTAATCCAAGCCCACTAGCAAACCACATCCTTCAATGCCACATCTGCACATCTATTAAATCCACCAGGGACAATGACTCTGCCCCTTCCCTGGACATCTGGACAGCTTGATCCAGCCTGACCATCCTTTCTTTGAAGAAACTTTTCCTGATATCCAATCTAAACTTCCCCTGCAGCAGCTTTATAGAGCCATTAAATGGTTTGGGTTGGAGGGGATCTGAGATTATTTATTTCCAGCCCCTCCTTGGTGTTTGTACTCTTCACTGCTCCCTCAGTAGTCACCTGAGGTGTGGTTGATGGAGTTGAGTGATTCATGGTGTTCTGTAGAAAATGTGTATAATAAGGACAGACAAGTCAGGCCATGAAAATGCCTGTTTTTCTCCTTTGACTGAAAAGGCACTAGGAGGATGTAGATTTTTACACTGACATCAGCTGTGTTAATCAGAAATTAGGTGAGATAAACCAGGCTCTCATGGATTTCCCCACCAGGGCACACCTCAAATTGAAAATGCACAATTTGCATCAGAAGTAGAAAGAAATTGGGCAAAGGGCTGAGCTTCTGGCTGTTATCCCCGGGGGCATCTGCTGCTTTTGTGCCTGGCAGTGTTCAAACAGGGTGAGAGACAGCCTGGAATGCTAATCCTGCTCCTGAGGAAGGGGTGTGTGGTGTGTGGGGGGCTGGGGCAGTGACCTGGCTGCTCCCATCTGTGCAGGTTACCTGATGTCTACACCCATTTCCGAAAAGGGCTCGAATCCGGGGCCAAGGTCCGGCCCACCCTGCGGATGGCAGATCAGCTAAAGCCCCTGGCTCCAGGGCTGGAAGAAGGGAGTATCCCTACAATGGAGGATTTTGGGCAGAAGGGTGAGGAAACTTAATTTGGAAGTTGCTCTACTGAAATCCTGCTTAGATTCTGTTCTTAAAAATATCCTACTTAGGTCTGTTTTGAAAAAATGTGGTTTACAAAGTAAATGATTTCCTGCTGCTCCAGATTCCCAGATGTTCAGCCAGGCTCAGTCAGGCACCTGTACTGGCTGCACTTGAGCTCTCTGGTGGTTAATACAAACCAAACATCTTGCAGGGCATATTATATTGTCACAGAAAAAATATTGTTTTGTAAAAATGCAGAGGCAAGTAGTGCTTGAGAGATACATGAAATGTCCCTAAGGATGACTGGATTATCATGGCTCTTTCAGTCTGGGAGGTGCTGTAGAAGCATCTGTCTTTAGTTGCAGGAATAGGCAGATATTTGCCTTCAAATTAAAGAGAGTAGATTTAGATTAGATGTGAGGAAGAAATTCTTCCCTGTGAGGCTGGTGAGGCCCTGGCACAAGTTGCCCAGAGAAATTGTGGATGTGCTATCCCTGGAAGTGTTCAAGGCCAGGCTGAACAGGGCTTGGAACAACTTGGGATAGAGGAAGGTGTCCCTGCCCATGGCAGGAGGTTGGATCTGGATGATCTTTAATGTCCCTTCCAACCCAAACCATTCTGTGATTCTATGATACATCTCTTGTTGAGAGCCAAAACACAGAAGCAGTGGTTGCCCTTCAAACTGTCATTAAGCCTCAGTTCACTCACACTGCAAATGCAGGTAAAATCCTTGTATGGGAATTTCCTACCCTGCACCCAGGTAGGAAACATCCTTAGTGATTTTTAATATGTTTCAAATGACCCTTATTTTAAAGGAAGACCACATCATCTTTTATGCCCCCAAAGCAGACATCCCCACTGCTGAGCATGCCTGGATTTTCAGCTCCCTGCCTTTGAGGTGCTTTCCCAGGGAGTAACAAGGTGTTGGTGTTTTCTGTGGCAGATCCCGTGGATGACCCCAGAACCGCCTTCCCGTGCAGTGGAGGAGAGACCCAGGCTTTAATGAGGCTGCAATATTATTTTTGGGACACGGTAACTCCTACATTTCCTTGCCTACATCCTCTCCCTTGTACACATGGCCGTGCAAGTGGGTGAGGCTGGAATTTTACTTCCTAATAATATTTCCTTAGCTCCCATATAAAATTTCACAAATGAGGGAATTAGCATTATATCAGTTTTTCAGAGAGACAAACTAGACCAAAAAGAAGTCCTCTGGGTCTGGGCAATGTAAGCCAAATACTTAGGAACCTAGTTTACTGGCCATCTCTCTGAAGTATTTTTTTCCATTAACTTCTGGGACTTGGGACAAAACTTTTTAGCTGCTTTACCTTGATTTGCTCCTTCTATGCTCATGTCCCACATCATCAGCAATGTAGCTCCTCTGTTTTGGAGGAGTGAAAAGTGGCCTGAAGGGCTGGAATTGCAACTGGGGTGAGGAACAACCAACCCAAGTTCTGCCTGCAGTTATAAATAGTAGGAGGTTTCTGTAGTCTGGTTTAGAATCTTGCAGCCAATAATGACAGCTACTATTTGTTTCCTTGCTTTGGTGGAGTGAAGCTCCTGCTGACTGCATTTTGTCAGACAGGTTTTGAACTTTTTTATGGTCTAGTTTGAGGAACTGTCTTCAATTTGCCATGTCTGAATTCAAAGGTACATGTGCTGATTTCCAGCAGCATCAGACCCCAAGCAGTTTTCTGGGTAAGGAAGGAGCACCTCTCCAGCTGAGATGGGTTAAAAGTGTGATGTTGCCAGTGCCTCACTGGGGCAGCCCCCAGGGCATCCTTTCAGCTGTGTTTCCCAAGTTCCTGCATTCCTTTGCTTTTGGGGAGCATTGTCCTGGTTTAACCCCATAAGGCAGCTCAGCCCTACAGCAGCTGCTCCCTCAGTTCCTGCCAGTGAGATGGAGGAGAGATTCAGAAGGATTAAAGTGAGAAAAGTCACGTGTTGAGTTAAAGACCATTTAATGGGGAAAGCAAAAGCTGTTTGCACAGGTAAAGCAAGGTAAGGTTTCATTTAATTCTTCCCACCAGTGGGCAGGTGTTCAGCCATCCCCAGGAAAGCAGGGCTCCATCACAGTTACTTGGGAATACAAATGGCATCACTCCAAACATCCTGACTTGCAGCTTTATATGCTGAGCATGACATCATGTGGTCTAGAATACCACTGGGGTCAGCTGTCCCAGCTGTGTCCTCTTCCAAATCCTCGTGTACCCCCAGCCTGCTCAGGGCGGGGTGGTGAGAGAAGCAGAAAAGGCCTTGAGGCTGTTTGAGCTCTTCTCAGCAGTAAGGAAAACATTGGTGTGCTCTCTGCACTGTTTTCAGCACAAATCCAAAACAACCCCAGATTAGCTGCCATGAAGAAAATTAACTCCATCCCAACCAAAATGACTACAAGTGTGTGTAGCTTTTGCTCTTGGTCAAGCATTAATATAACCACAGCTGGAAAACCTGTTCTTTCTTTTATTGTAATGCAAATATTGTCTTTCCCAGTGACCTACAAGAACCCTTTAGCAATTGTAACCTGTGCAGTGAAGGTGATCAAGGAGAGATTGGTCTTCCCTATGTCATCTGCATTGTCCATGGAATGCTCAGAATATGGAAGATCTGCCTGCTGCTGTAAATGTGTGGGGCACAGAAGCAACAGTGGTCAGAGTTCCTGCAGCTGTTGCCAGTGCCTCACTGTGGCAGCCCCCAGGGCATCCTTTCAGCTGTGTTTCCCAAGTTCCTGCATTCTTTGCTTTTGGGGAGTGCTTTTCAGTGGGTTTTTGATCCAGGATCAGATGGGAACAGGGAGCAGGGAGGGAACAGCACGGCCAGGTGCACAGTGCTTGTAGAGAGAAAGGAGCTGCAGGCTGAAGCAGGGAGCACAGCTTGTGACACACCCCAGAGCTATAATGAAACTGCTGGCCTGATTCATGCCTGTGTGCAGGAATTGGGCAGCTGTGCAATCCTTGCAGGCAGCCATGAGTGGGAACCCAGCCCTACCAGGTTGCTCTGGCTCCAGAAGGAAAGAACATTTAGCAGGTTGCTTGTAAAGTACTGAAACTTTTTCTTCTTTTGCTCTCACAGAATCTGGTTGCCTCTTACAAGGAAACTCGGAATGGGCTGGTGGGAATGGATTACTCAACGAAATTCGCACCATGGTAAAGATTTTTGTTGAGACTTGAAAATCCTTTTCTGCTTCCATCCCAAAGAGATGTTACCTGTCTGCTGAGTGCTGCTGGGCATGGGTGGGGGTCTAGGTGTGGTTTCTTTGGTCCTTTTTATTGTGGTAGAGCAGCTCTGAGGCTGCACTTCCCTGGAACTGCTGCAGTGAGGCAGAACTGTGCCAAGTGTGGACAGGGAGCAGGAGGGACTCACCATTTGCCTTTGGCTCCGTGCTGCTTTGTGTAGGAAGGGAAAGGCAGGGAAGTAACACAGCTTCAGTGTGTTGGTAGGGCTGTAGCAGAACTCAGCCTAATCCTGGTTTCCTGCATAGTCTGGGGCAGGTCACCCCACCTCACTGCCATTCTGTGGGGTGCAGAGACACTTCTGATTATTCCTGTTGGGAAAGATCTTTGTCTGGGTAAATATTTTGGTTTTTAATTAGGGGCTTTAGTTCCTGGTGCTGGAAGAGGCAGAGTTAATTCCAGACTAGAACTGAAGCAGCAGCAGAACCCAGTTCAGCCTAAGCTGAGAGCATCTGGATTCTCCCAACAGAATTGCAATGAGAACCAAATTTCTGAGGCTGTTGCAGGTCAGGATTTGTTTCCAGCGAGCTTTGTGCTGTGATGGTTGCAGTGGATTGGCTCCATCTGGTGGCACTTTGGGATCCCAGGACTGCTGGCTCTGTGGAAGTTTATTATTTGTGGCCTCCACTTGAGTTTTTCCAAGCTGACCATTTGCTCAGAGCAAACAGTCCTGATCTGTCTGCCCCAAAATGTTCCCCTGTCACATAATCAAAATCAGAGCAGTTCATGTTGCAGTCAGTCATTCCCATCTCATACTGGCCTTTAGAGCTCATCAGGAATTAAGGAAAAACTCTTCAAAGTAGTTCTTTCTGTTTTCCACAATTCATTAAAACATCCAGTGTTTCCACAAGCTGTAGTGGAATTGTAAAATGCATTTCTAGGAAAAGCAAAATAAAAGTTGTTCTTTATTACCCTGTATGATAGGGCTGGAGTCTGCAAGTTCTTTCCTGTCTTGCAACAGGACTGATTTGGAAAAAATGGAAGGAGCCCAGTGGGTTGAAATGCCAGAGCATGGTTTGATTCCCTAGTTTTCCTGCCAGGGCTCAGATTTTCAGCAGTCACTTGCCTCTGTGGTTGCTCAAAGGAGCCACTGAGGTTCTGCAGGGAAAGGAGCCCTGGGCACAGGATAAGGAGGTTTGTGGTAAAAGGACAGGTAGGACATGTGATGCAGAGGTTGACATTTGAGATTCTTTTCTGGGTGTGTCATTTGGTTTGTTAAATCATTTAGACAAAACTTGTCCAACTTGAGTAAAATGATTTGTCTCCATAGCTTGGAGACTCCTGTAACAATCATACCCCAGGAGGGAGGGAATCTTGATTCTTGGAAGAGAATTTTCACTCTTGAAGAGTTGCAGAGAAGTTACAACTTGACTAAAGCCATTTAGGAAGTCAGGTTCAGAACTGGAAGCCAAATAAAATTTTATACAACAACTCTAGCCACAAAACTGCCCTTCTCCTCCCCCTGAGCTGACATGAAGCTGTCGGTCCTGCGTGGCATTCAGGACATTATTGCTCTGCTTTCAGGCTGGCACTGGGCTGCATCTCACCTCGATACATCTATGAGCAGATCCAGAAGTATGAGAGGGAGAGAACAGCAAATGAGAGCACGTACTGGTATGTCTTTGCACCATCAGCATGGCTTATTTCCTCTGAAAGTGATTTGTTAACTCTCTTTGTAATTAATGTTTGTTTTTCCTGTGTCTGCCTGCTGGTTCCTCTGAGTTGCACTGTAGTTCTCTTTCAGCACAGATTTATTAGTCTGTCTTCGACACTCAGGGGCTTTAGGCACTTTGTAAGTAAAGATTATCAATGCCAGTTGTCATGATAATTGCTGGGAAAGCGTGGCTCATGATTTTTGAAAACAATCTCAGCAAATCAGCACCATCCATCTCTGTGTTCTTATGGGCTTAATGAGAAGGAGGAATAGTTTACAAATAAAAGCCAAAGGGTTTCTCAGGCTGAGGATATGAGCCCAGAAGTCTCAGTGACTGTGTGACTCGTGCAAATCTCGTTGTGTTTGAGGGTCCCATGGCCACAAGTCCAGCAAGTGGCTCTGTGTGTGCTCAGCTGCCTGGCCATGACCACCATGTCAGAGCAGAGGGGAAGAGGGCACTGGGAATTGGGTTTAATGCATCCCATCCTGTCACCCGTGCTCTTCCTCACCTCTCAGTTTATCCATCCCTGGGCTGGCCTTGAACTTGTTCAGCTCTGCCCAGACACTGTGAATCAGAACCTGAAGATCTGATAGAGAAACAGGTTCATGTTAGAGCCTGGCCTAACACTAGACCTGGATGGGAAAAATCTCAAACCATAACGTCTGTGCAATGCTGGAACTAAATATTCATTTTGGTTTGTTACATTTGCAACTTGTCAAACAGCACAGTGGTTGGTGAGGAACAGGCAGAACATTGCCAACCATTCTGGCCAAAATGCTCAGTTTCATTAAAATTCAAAAGACAGAGAAAATACCAACACCCATGAAGTGTATGTTTAGTTTTTTTTTTTACTTCAAAGACAGTTAAGAGAGGAAAGATTTCAAGAAATGAACATACTCCTGTTTTCCATGTAACAGTCAGCCAGCCTGCTGGCAGCTGGCATGCCATGGTGATTTTAACATTTTAAAGTGTTCAGTAATTATAAAAATGAAGCTGTCAAGCTCCCAAGAAGTCACTTGTACAATGAAGTACAGGTCATGGTGGCTGCACATGAGGGACTCATTGAACCTCAGTGTTATGACACTACTTTTTAGGATGTGGACAGTGTCCTGTTCAGGTTGGACATTAGGAGGAATTTCTTCACTAAAGGGGTGATTAGACATGGGAGTGGGTTTCCCAGGGAGGTGGTGGAGTCACTGTCCCTGAAGGTATTTAAAGAAAGGTGCCATGGTCTGGTTGACACCATGGTGTTTGCTCATAGATGGGCCTGGATGGTCTCAGAAGTCTTCTCCAACCTAACTGATTCCCTAATTCTGTGATTCTGTTCCATAACCAGATTATCCAGAAGGATATTGTCAGCCTAAAAATCAGCTGAGCAGAGTGCTTCCCATATGGCATAGACTTGAAGCAGGTCTCAGAGGCTGATTCTTTTTATATGCAAGTTTTTTAAAACTGTCCTTTTTTTTTTTTGTGGGCCTAGCACCTGATCTAATGGGTTGGAGCACTGTAAATCAGTTTTGAAGGGTGTCTTATAATCCCTTGCAAAGGTTATTGCTTAAATCAACACAAATAAATCAACAGAAAGCTCTCAGGAATGTGCTGATGTGCTCACTCCTGCCAAAGTGTGAAGCTCAGTCAGGCCCTCGCCCTGCTCTGTGGAGAATTACATCCCAGCAGGGATGGAGGAGGAACATGTTTCCTGAAACTCTGCTCCTGCATGTGAGCTAAGGAAAGCTTCCCAGGTGATTCATGCAGAGTTTGCTTTCCCTGTAAGACAGCTCAGCAGGCTTGGGGAAAGAACTGCTGTCATGGGGAAGGTGCCTGAAATGGCTGGTTGTGAATAAACTTCACAGTGTTAATGGTGGGTTGTATGGAAGCAAAATCCTTGTTCAGTAATCATAAGTGAGCCACAGTGAAATGCTGAGATGCCTTTGTGTTTCAGGGTCCTGTTTGAACTGCTGTGGAGGGATTATTTTCGGTTTGTGGCCCTGAAGTACGGCAGAAGGATTTTCTCATTAAGAGGTGAGTATGGATCACCACATTTAGGGGGGAAAGGGACTCTCTTACAACAGGGAAAGTAAGAGAAGAGGCTGTTGGCATTAAGTTGTATAAATGGTGCTTCTGTCACCACCCTGGGATGCTGCTGGGAACTCTCTGGTAGCACAGAAGTGCCTCAGCACCACGGTGCTGGACAGTGATCCCCAAGTCTGATTCAATACAGGGAGTATTATTGACACATATATATATATGTGTGTCAATATATAATATATATAGTATATATTGACACATTTCTGTGGGAAACAGCAGCACAAGGAGAGTGAAGGTCCTGTTCCCAGAGACATTCCACCTTTCAGCAGAATCCAGGCTTCAAGCTTGCCTGAGTTCTCCAGAGAACCTGGGACAGAGCAGGAACTGACCCAGCAGGGTGAATCCCAAGCAACCAGATACTGCACTATGTAGGGATAGAGAGAAATTGGATGCCAGTGGTGGGCCTGATCTTGAATGTTTGTAGCTAGAGCTGAGTTGTCCCTGCTGCCTCTGCTCCCTTGCACAGAAGGCTGTAATTGCCACTGGATCCTGCAAACATGAAATCATCCCCCTCATCTGTTTCTATCCCATTTGCAGGGGCAAAGTGTTGCCCAGGGCTTCTGCCAGGTAATTCTGGGTGTAGTACCTGCTACAGAAACACATTTCACATAAGCTCTGTCCTGGAATAAACTGAAAAAGAAAATACCAGCGTGGGCCTCTGTCCACTTGTGAGGTCTGAGTCATTTTTAATTAAAAAAAGGAAAAAAAATAAGAGAAAACATCAGCAAAACAAATAGAAAAAATACATTAGGGCTTGAGCACCCTCTGTGTGCAAAAGACACCCTTTTGCAGCACTTGGGGGGGAGGATCATCTCTAAACCTGTGCAGAAAGTTTGTTTGTAATGGCCCTGAGAGGCCGAGTTTCACCCTTACTCCTTGTACCAACCAAGCTCCCCTGGCTGTGTTGTGGTCTGAGTAAATGCCTCTGTCAGTATTTCTTCATCAGCAGGTCATTATTTTCCTCCACAGGGCTTCAAAGTAAAGACATCCCCTGGAAAAAGGACCTTCAGCTCTTCAGCTGTTGGCAAGGTCAGTGGGAACTGCAGTTTGGCTGGCTGTGTTTTGTTCCCCACGGGTCTGCTGGGGCTCACATGTGCCCTAACACTGACTCAGTCTCTGGAGGGGAGCTGCCAGCATGGTCAGGGCTGGCATTTAAACTGGCATCACCGGGGTAAGAATGTGTGTGGCTGCCCTTCCCAGACTGAGGCCGACCAGGAGCAGCCCAAGGGCTACCTGCTTTCTGCAGGCAGATTTTCCTGCCCAGGAGGGAGTGTTTGTCACCTGCTGGTCCCTTGTGTTTAGTCACACACAGGCTGACCAGCCCTTCTTATCAGCATTAGATTGCCATGCCAGCTGTATTTGGTTCTGTTTGCTTTTGGTTACAAGGTTACAACAGATTTAGACTAAATCACATCTTTTGTAATCCCACAGCCTTTTCTTAAGCTGTTTTAACTTTGTTGTAACATGAATAGCAAGCATAATATCTCAAAACTTGGAGGGACTAACAGATTAAAGTATTATAATCAGTGTAATACACACCTCTGTATCTTTTTTTTTTGTGTGTGTGTTAATGCCACGTGTACCCATTTGCACACAGGATAAAATAAATCATCCAGGCACAGTAAATCTTTTCCTTAACAATAGACAAACTCTACTTTTCAGGTACTAACCATGGGGGGATTTGTACAGTACATCCCTCTGTTAGTCACCTGTCAAGAATCTTTCTGTTCCTGGCCCATCTCACTATAGTCTGCATATTTATTTTACTCTGCAAAATTCCCTGCAACCCACCTGATTGTTTTTCCAGTCTGAGATTTTTCTGTAATTTTTTTTTTTTTTTTTTTTTTTACTTCTTGCCAAAACTTCTCCCCAGCTTAATTTTCTGTATGATGTCCAATTTAATTTCCAGTGGATCTTAGTGACTGCACTCCAGCTAAACCACACTGAAATCTCTCCCTGCTGCTGTGCACTGGCACTGCCTTGGAAATGGCTGTGAATACATGACCACAGGCGGGTTTTATGAGTGCCCAAAAGCATCCTGATACTCCAATGTTGTGTTTTGTCTCTGCAGAGGGCAAAACTGGAGTTCCTTTTGTGGATGCCAACATGAGGGAGCTGAGTGCCACGGGCTTCATGTCGAACAGAGGGCGGCAGAACGTCGCCAGCTTCCTCACCAAGGACCTGGGGCTGGACTGGAGGATGGGGGCAGAATGGTTTGAATACCTGCTGGTAAGACTGAGCCCTTAGTGTGCCTGGAGTTTGATGACAGGCAGGAGGACAGCCCTGATTTATAAGAAAGGGTACAGGTGATGATCAGTAATTTTCAGGTTGCTACAAGACTGTGTAGATACTTTTTGCAGTGTGTGAGCTTCTCAAAGCTCACACAAGTAAAAGGAATTTTGCCACAGTGGAGCTGCCACCAACAAAGATGCAGCTAGGAAGTTTGCAGTAAACTTAGATCCTCTGTGCAGAGTTTTAGCCAGAGATCTGTTGCACTTGACAAAACTTTCAAACATGAATTATGCTGCCAATGCTCTGACTTGCTCACCCCAGAGGTTGGGGAGGAGGGCAGCCCAGAAACAGAGTATAAAAAGAAGTGTGTGCTGGCACAATGTCTGTGCATTGATGGCTGTGGACTGGGAAGCCATCTAGTCAAGCACAGGCAAGTAGGGACAATAGCTGGATCAGCTTCCACAGAGCTCCACCCTGGCTGGAGGCATCCTTCTTCATTCTGGGGTGCTGCAGGCCTCCCTGCCAACTGGAGCACCAATTCCTCTCTCATATATCAATCAGCAGCTGTGTGAGCTCTGTTAAATAGCTGGATCACTTTTCTGACCTCAGTCCCCATGGATTCTCATGGTACTGACTGAAAAAAAGCCAAATACTCACATCAGCCTCACATTAAAGGTCTTATCTGTGGCATACAGGAGGCTGTTGGCAATCAGAAAACTTTCCACTCACTTGGAATGCTGGATGGGCAGAGAAGATCAGTTGCCTTGCCAATATCTGCAATTAAAAGAGACTATTTTTTAATGTATTTTTTTTTTAATTTCCTTGGAGCTAGGCTCTGATATGGCTTTGGCTGCAGGAGGAAAATCTGGGTGCTCTCCAATGCCAGTGCTGGGAGCAGCAGTGGGCTTGGACAACAACATGGTGCAGGACATCAGGATCCTCCAGAAAGGGGTTTGGGGAGCTCCATGCAGTGATGCTTTTACAAATAAGAGCAAGAGCCTGCCACAAGTGTGTCCTGTTCCACAAGTGAGGAAGACCTGGAAGGTCTCACACTAGAAAGATGCTGCCTGTGTTATCTACATTTATTCCTAAGGAATATGACATAGGTTGGTGTGGTACAGGCTGGTCCTTGGGCCCTTTGGTCCCATCTTGTGTCACACAGCTCTGCAGCACACAGGAGACATCAACTTGGTGGGGAAGACGTGGCTGTAGAAGTGTAGAGGCCAGTACAGAACTTACAGAACTGAAACTGATCTCAGCTGCTGTCGGAATCTGTGGGTATTGATGATTCCGAAATTGTATAAAATCTGTCTTTCTGCCCCGTTGCCAAAGAAGAAGCCATAATTCGTCTGTGCTGGTTTCAAGGTGGTTTATTCTGTTTATCTCTACCATGTTCTGCTGCCCTGCCGCAGCTCTGTCCTGCAGGGCAGCGTGTGGGGCTCTGCCCTCAGTGGGATGTTACAAACATTAAATACCAGAAACTACCTGTGCTGGATTTACAATAACGTGCCAATATCTGTCACCTACATTGAACAGCGTGTCCCCAGCCTAAACCAACAGAAAAATGCCAACACTGCAGTGAAACATGGAGGGCATGAAGAAGGAGAAAAAGGACAAAACACACCCAATTTCCTCCATCTTGTCCCCTTTGGACCCCTAATCTAGAAACCTAAAATTTTACTTTTGCACCCGTGCCACACTTAATTATTACTGATATCAAACATTCAGAGCTTGTAATTCATCCTGTAAGATTGAAAACTCTTTTCCATGGACAGAGATCACAGACAGTGTCTCTGGGGGCTCTGTCCAGGGGGGTTCCTGACCCCTGCCAGGGTCCCAGACCTGCCAGGGCAGCCAGAGGGAAGCCCTGGATTCCCATAACATGCCTCTAAAAAAAGGAAAGCAATGCCTATTTCAACTCCGTTTCTGCCAGCAAAGGCCCACCAAGTGTTTGTGTGTGCCATCCACACCAGACAGGCAGGGAAACTGAGGCACAGCTCTCTGCAACCCACTGGAGCCAGGGGAAAGTCCAGCGACCACTGGTGTCCTGAACTGAGAATATCTCAGCTCTGACTTCACTGATTTCATTCCCAGGGTCAGGCCCCAAGGAAAGGCAGAGAAACAAACAGAAGAGAATGCCAGGAAGGGGCAAGGCTGGGGGGGAAATGAGCCTGACTCCTCCAGGCCCCCTTGGATTTGCCCTCACCTCCCACACATGCTTTCCTGCACGTTAATCACACAGTCAGGCCTCCAATGGCATCTTTCTTCCCTCCTTATCTCACCAGCTGGAGGAAGTGAGCTGGGAAGGGGAAGCCTGGTGCACAGGGAGCAGAGCTGGCTGCTGCTCACCCCGACCCCAGCACTCACTGGCTCTGCAGAGAAAGGGCAGCTTGACAGAGCCCATTCCTTGAGTCTTCTGCTATCCTGGAGCATTGAGCTCCTCACTCCAAGGAGTGGCTGAGAGCTTGGAAACATCTCTTTGTGGACTGGTTGCTGCTGTGGCTGCAGTAAAAGGAGAACAGCACTGAACCAGCTCTTTCTGCCACAGCTGCTGCTTTTGCAGCACAGACATCCCTAGGAATGCTCCCTGATCCCAAACCCTCCTTGCTATCACTTCCACTTCCCTCCTGAGCAGGGTTTGAATTGTCCTACAACTGGAAAACTTCTGGTGTTGGATTTAAGCCACCCTGCCCAGCTGAAGAGCACTCAGATGGGATCATGTTCTGCTCTCAGTTGTGCTTGTTCCAAAAGCCCTGCTCCATTGTATATAAGCATCCTTGAGAGCTTTTTATTTGTTTAGAGAAGGAATAACTTGACAATGGGGGAAAACTGCAGTGTTTGTATTGTTTGCATCCTCATATACACTGTGTGGTTTGTCTGCACAGTCTCAGATTTCTCTCCAAACTGCCTAGTAGGATCTGCAGAGATGATTTTGCCAGTGTGTGGTGTCTGGGTAACTGGTCAGAAAGAATTTTCTCTCATATTTGAATACTTTATTTTGGGATATGAGCATTCAAATGCTCATTTAGCAGACTTGTGAAGTCTGCTAAATGATGGCAGAAAGAGAAGGATTTTCCTTAAAAGGAAGGAAACTGAGAAGGGCTTTGGTTGGACTTTTACCTGTTTTCTGACCTAAAGATCATGAACTGAAGTAGTCTGGAAGCTGATGCCAGACTAAAGAGCAGCCATGCAGGTCCTTTTCTGAGCCAGATGCCTGTACCTACATGGGGGAGCTCTGACCACCCCAGTCTGGCTGGAGTGAATCCCATTCAAGGAAATTTCCCTCTGAGCTAAAGAATGGATGAGAAGATTGACCAAGGGTCAGCCCAGCTCTTCTGACAGTTTTCTCCCTCTGTTCTCAAGGTGGATTATGATGTTTGTAGCAATTATGGCAACTGGTTGTACAGCGCTGGCATTGGCAACGACCCACGGGACAACAGGAAGTTTAACATGATCAAACAAGGCCTGGATTATGATGGGAATGTAAGTCTTGTGTGGCTGTTTTACAGGGATGAGTGCATGAAGGACTTGTGTTTTCAGGGAGCAGAGGAGATCAGTGTGCTGTGTGGATAGAAAACCAGTTCTTGTGTCTCCTGGCCAGCAGTCGGGCAGGTTCCTTGGTGTGTACAGGGCAATGTAATTTAACAACCTGCTGCTGTCCCCAGGGATGTCCCCACACACTCCCTGGTCAGTGTGTTAAGTGTTTTGTCACCATTTCTTCCAAGTCACAGCTGCATCCCATCAGAACATCACACAGATGCTTCCCTGAGCACAGAGCAGCTTCTTGGAGTACTCAGGAGTCTCCTGAGAGACAGAACCATTCATTGAGAGGTACTCAAGAGTAGGTTAAACCTGTGACTCCTCTGACTATCCTCTTTGAAATGGTAGGAGCAGATAAATTGCCCTTTCCCTGTGCTTAGCCAGTATTTACATACTGGACTACCTGTTTCCACACTATTCCTTAGCTTCACGTCAGGCTGTGCTGTTGCCTTTTGGCACTGTAGCTGGCAGGATTTAACAAGAAATCAGAAATTAATCCTGTAGAGGACACAGCAGTAGAATTAATAGGAGAGATTCAGGAACACAAGTGTGCAGCTGAGCTAGCCATCCTTTTTTACCTTCAGTCATGGGAAACTTCTTGGGGGTGACTGCATTTCAGGATGTCCTAAACAGGACAGGGGAGCAGTGCTGAAAATGCACCTCTGCCTCCCTCCGTGCCTGCAGTGTGAGCATGGGAGAAGAGCTCCAGCATTCAGGTCTCTGTTTGGGCACTAATTCTGGGTGGAGGATTTAGCAAGAGGGACCAAGGCTTGTCAGAGGAAACTGATGCTGTACAGCACCAGCTTTTCTACCTGGAAATCTGGCTCCTCTCTTTCCCATTGAGACAGAGCCTTGCTTGGAAGCACTTAGAGATTGTCACTGAATGGATCCTGTCCATTGGTTCTGTTTGCAGGGGGATTATGTCCGGCTGTGGGTGCCAGAACTGCAGGGCATAAAGGGAGCAGACATCCACACCCCCTGGGCACTGAGCAGTGCTGCTCTCTCCCAGGCAGGAGTAACTCTAGGTGAGACCTACCCACAGCCAGTGGTGACAGCCCCAGAGTGGAGCCGCCACATTCACCGGAGGCCTGTGAGTACTGGGAGGGCTGGGATGGGGTGGGAGGGCTCCAGGGGCTGCTCTGCCTCAGTCTCTGGGAGTTCTGCTCTTCTTTCCCAGGTGTAAAGGGGAAAAAAAAAGTTGTTTTAATGCAAGCTCACATTACATCACAGCAGGGACTGTGCAGCCAGGATTATTTAGCTGTCTGTCCTACCCATGGTGGTGAAGGATGTAAATTTTTGCTGCTTCTCCGTCCCTTGTATAGTCAGGAAGGCTTAGCCACAGCACATCCTTCTGAGCATCCTTCCATGCCCTGGCAGCCCCACCAGAGGGATGGGGTTTCTCCAAGACCACCTCCCAGTACAGGTGGACAGAAGAGAAACAACCCAGTGTCATTTCTGTTCAAGAGGTGGAAGTAAAAACAACCAACTTCCTGCTTGAGTGCATCCAAACTGGAGTCAGCAAGACCTGTAAATATGGAGACTGCTCCTTGCACTTTGCTTTTTTAGTGTATCTTCCCTTTAAAATGGGGGCAGAATAAGTTCTTGATCCTGCAACATGTCAAGGTTTTTATCTGCTGCCTGGGATGCTGTTCTTGGAGGAGATGGGTACGGAAGGAAATGGATGTAACCAAGGGTTGTGTATTATAAGAGTGTTCAGCATTTTGCCTTTCCCCCATGCATCTACCCTGCCTTCTCCTGAGTGAAGATACTTTGTGGAGGCTCAAATTTAGGTATTGCACCAAGTCAGTGGAGAATGAAGCATGCCCTCATTTCAGGTTTTAATCTCGAGGTACAGTGCCAAATTTTTAGGCCAGATTCCTTTGCCATGAGTGGAGAGTTTTGTGGAAGCAAAGCCTTCTGCTTCACCCATGCTGTTGGAGGGCCTGGATTAGTGACCTCTTGGGATGAGAGAAAGGACTCCACAGGAGCACCTTAGTGAGACACTAGTTTGAGGCAGTGATGAAACTTGAAGCCAAAAAGCTTCTCAATCAGGCAAAAGATCAATTTTGATTCACATTCCCAGCTCACCTTACCAGAAACCCTGATTTCCTAAATCCCAGCCTACATCACTGCCTGTCAGGCCTTCCTGCCTTTTTGAGTGAACTTGGGAGTCAGAAGTTCCATGTGCACATTCTCCTGGATGTCAGCACTGCTTTGTGACCAAACCCACTCTGCAGCATCAGTAAATATCTCACTGTTCCTTGTCATTTGCCACAGGGAGGAAGTCCCCATCCCAGGGGCAGGAGGGGACCAGCGCAGCGCAAGGACAGAGGAATAGATTTTTACTTCTCTCGCAAGAAAGATGCTTGCTGAAGGCTGAAGGAGTGCTCAGCAGGAGGTTTTGCTGCTGAGGGTACCTGGATAATGGTTAATTACCTTGAACAAGCCAAAGATACACGTTTGGCATGGTAAAATAACAGGGAATCTCCCTGTCTGGTGTTCCCAGGGACAGTCGCTGGATGTGGGTGTTTGAAGGTTGTGTATTAGCACCTCTCCTTACTATCTGGAGCCAGTGGTTTATGTGGCAGGTGTTTTCAGTCAGAACTGAAATTTCTTATGCTTATTTTTCATTTTCTAGAGTTTCGAACTCACCAATCATTGTGCAATTAAAAGTTTTGCTACTGGAATATTTTATCTTCCTCATTTTCACAGAGCTCCATAGATAGAGACTGCAGAGGATGTTCTTTTACTGTGTATCTTGCAGTATTTTGGAGAAGCAGCGTGTTCCTCCTGAAAATTTCCTTGCAGTATCCTGTTGTTTTGGGTACCATCCTGGAAGCTGAAAAATGTTCAGTTCATAGCCAAGAATTGTGTTTTGTACTCAGCATCAAAAGCAGTTTGAAATGGATCCCTTAAGTTTTAGGATTTTATTTTTATGCAGAATGTTGTACTTGCTGGACAAGTTTGGGAATTTGGAGATGGACATATTTGTGCTGTCATGGAGTATTGTCATCTGAGGGGAGCCCAGATCTGAACACTTTGACAACCAAAGATGGGATGTAGTTTTGGATTTATTGCTACTAGAGATCCACTGAGCCCGCTCTGTAAAGAATAACTGCAATACTGTAAAATCTCTGAACACTCTGGGTTGATGGGTTCAAGTCTGGGTGAGAAATAAACAGACACTGAACACAAGAGCAAGTTTTTTTTTGCCTAAAACAGAAAAAAAAAAAGTGATTTTGAAGATAAGCCCTGTCAGGGCCACATGAACAATTCTACCATTTGTTGTATTAGAGGCCTGGGCAGGAATGTAGCCATCAGGGGGTGATTTGGGAGGAACAGAATGAAACAGATTTAGTGACAGCACTGTTCTCTCTGGCATAAGTGTCTCCTGACACACAGCACAGATCCCTGTCCAGGCCACTCCAGAGGGCAGGGCACTACATTTGGATAAAGCCCAGCAGGAGAATCACAGAATCAGTTAGGTTGGAAAAGTCCTCTGAGATCATCGAGTCCAACCCGTCACCCAACATCACCATCTCAACTGAGTGCCACATCCAGTCTTTCTTTAAACAGCTCCAGGAATGGTGATTCCACCACCTCTCTAGGGAAGCCCATTCCAATGTAATCATCCTTTCTGTGAAAAAATTCTTCCTGATGTCCAACCTAAACGTACCCAGTACAGTTCATGACTTTTTCATCTTGCCCTATCATTTATTGCCTGGGACAAGAGACCAGACCACACCTGCCTACAACCTCCTGTCAGGAGGGAGTTTTAGAGAGAGATAATGTATCCCCTGGCTTCCTTTTCTCCAGATTGAACACCCCCAGCTCCCTCGGCCGCTCTGTGTAGGGTGTGTGCTTCAGCTGGGATTCTCCAGCTCCATTCCCTGCTCTGGACCCTCTCCAGTTCCTGAATGCCTTTCCTGACTGGAGCCCAGAGCCGGACCCAGCACTGGAGGTGGGACCTGTGTGTCTCACTGGCAGGGAGTGTTGGGGATGGGCTTTGTCAGAGCTCCAGCAGGGAGAGTGGGATGAGCCCGGGCTGCAGGTAACACAAGTTTTATCCAGAGAGAGCCTGGGCTGCAGGAAATCACAAGTTTTACCCAGAGAGAGCCTGGGCTGCAGGAAATCACAAGTTTTACCTAGAGAGAGCCTGGGCTGCAGGAAACACAAGTTTTATCCAGAAGAGAGCTTGGGCTGCAGGAAACACAAGTTTTATCCAGAGAGAGATTGGGCTGCAGGAAACACAAGTTTTATCCAGAGAGAGCCCGGGCTGCAGGAAATTACAAGTTTTACCTAGAAGAGGGCCTGGGCTGCAGGAAATCACAAGTTTTACCTAGAGAGAGCCAGGACTGCAGGAAATCACAAGGTTTACCTAGAAGAGAATCTGGGCTGCAGGAAATCACAAGTTTTATCCAGAGAGAGCCAGGGCTGCAAGAAATCACAAGTTTTACCTAGAAGAGAGCCAGGGCTGTAGGAAATCACAAGTTTTACGCAGAGCTGGGCCATGCTGACAAGAGGAGACAGGTGAATCCCTGGAGGAGGGCTCCCCTGAGGGCTGTGAGGGAACGTCCCCTCCGCGCTCTCCCGCCGCTGAGGGCTGAGGGCGGAGCGGCGCTGCGGGGCGGAGCAGAGGCGGGGCGGGCCGCGGAGCGAAAGTGCCGGGAAGGGGAAGTCGGAGAGCGGCACGATGGCCACGGCCCCATCGCAGCCCGCTGCCAGCCCCGGCCCCGGCCCGCTGCCGGACCTGCAGGCCGTGCCCATGGTAGCGCTCAACTACGGCGTCCGCCGCCGCCTCGGCCTCTACCTGAACCCGCGGGCGGCCGCGGCCGCGGACTGGACGGCGCTGGCGGAGGCGCTGGGCTGCAGCTTCCTGGAGATCCGGCGGCTGGAGAGGCTGCCCGACCCCACGGCCGCGCTGCTGGAGGAGTGGCCGGGACGCTGCCCCGGCGGGGCCACCGTGGGGCAGCTGCTCGCCGTGCTGCGCCGCCTGGGCCGCCACGATGTGCTGAGCGACCTGGCCGGCAGCGTGGGTGAGGCGCTGGGATGGGGAGCGCTGGGAGCCCGGGAACAGAATGGAATCCCGGGGAATCCTCTCCTTGGTGCCTGGGAGGGAGGGGATGCTCTTCCTCTGTCGGTCCTTGCTCTTCGTGTTGGTCCTTCCTCTTCGCGGTGATGTTTGATGTTCCTGTCGCTCTTCGCTGCTCTGTCCGCGGAGGTGAGGTTAAAAAAAAATCCCGCTCGAGAAGGAAATCTTTTACAGATGATGGAGTGACATTCTCTTTGTTGTCGGAGCACCTGTGCTGTGGAGACCCTCAGGCTGGACAAGGGGAGGCTCCGGGGAGAGCTCAGAGCCCCTTCCAGCGCCTAAAGGGGCTCATAAAGGAGAGAGAGGGACTTGTTTCGTGCGTGAAGGGTGATGGGATAAGAGAGAATGGTTTTGAACTAAAAGAACAGAGATTTAGATTATATATTAGAAGATTATATATTACATTAGCTATTAGGAAGAAATTATTCCCTGTGAGCATGGTGAGGCCCTGGCACAGGTTTCCAGAGAAGCTGTGGTTGCTCCATCCCTGGAAGCATCCAAGGCCAGGTTGGATGGAGCTTGGATCAGCCTGGGGTAGTGGAAAGTGTCCCTGCCCATGGCAGAGGGTGGAATGAGGTGACCTGTAAGGTCCCTTCCAACCCAAACCATCCAGCGATTCACAGAAGTCTGACCTGGCTTCCAGGAGAGATGTGCACTGTGTTTGTGCTAAGCATGAGCACTGCAAAGTAACCTGGAGGCATGTCTTATCACAATTAAAAAGTTTGTGTGTCAAAAGATGCTCTTAGCCAGGAGACAGTGTGAAAACTGTGATTTGTGGGTATAGTGTGATAGGAAGATGTTTGTTGGGGGAGATGAGGGATGTGTGGGACTGGATAATGTCATGGAAAAAAATTCCATGCAAACTGAAAAAATCGAGGCAGGTCATTGAGAAGAATTAAGGTCCTTGTGCTGTTCTGATATCTTCTTTCTGGGCTCTTTGTATTCTTTGTGGTCAGAGAAGTTCAGGGAACCCAGCTGTCATCGGAAGGTGAAATTCTTTGCCGAAGTATTTCCAAAGCCAGAGAATTCCCTGAAGGCCTGTGTTGTATAATAGAGCTTACGGAGTTAGCAATGAGGAAGTAATAAATGTCACTTCCTGTTACTCATGGAGATAAAGGAAGATGTAGAAATCCATCTCTGTTGAGAACCTGACCAAAAAGCAGTGGAGGATCCTGTGGTTCTTCCTGCTTAAGATCACAGTCTGAAGGAGGCCAGGATTTGGGAAAGACAAAAGCATCAGTGTGCTTTGTGTTCTGCTTATCAGAGGTTCCTAACAAATCTGGGGGGCTTCACAAAAATGTTGGGATCATCCAGGCTGGTTCTAGCCCTGAGCTGAGGATCTGTCTGTCCCACTGGAAGGGAATGTTGTGGATGGGCTTTGTCAGAACTGGAATAGACTCCAGCAGAAAGAGTGGGAAGAGCCTGGGCTGCAGGAAAATCACAAGTTTTACCCAGAGTTGGGTCATGCTGATAAGAGGAGACAGGTAAATTCTTGGAAGAGAGGCCCACTAAGGGCTGTTCAACAAAAATTCTCTTTATGGCTCAGGAAATTCCTTAACTCTGAATAGTCCAAAAAGATAGATTATAAAAATAGATTGTAGATTATATGTAAAAGATAGATTTTAGGGAAATACATACATATATATATTAGGGAAATATCTCTGTAAGCTTATTTTATTCTTAGGTTCCCCCATGGACACCTGGCTTTGTGCAGTGCTTGAGACAGGATGAAGCTTGGGGCCTCACCAGTGTAACTGTTCCTCTTTTATGATTTTTGGATGAGAACTGCACTGAGAGGCTGTGACCTGTTGCTGGGAGCTCTTGCAGATCAGAGATATTTACAAAGGTGGATATTTCCAAGGAAAGGGAAAGGAAAGGAGAAAAAGGAAGAGGTTTCATGTACTCTTGTGCATGGTATTTCCTGGTACCAGGGGCATCTTTATGTGCCACTGGAACTTCTTCAGTGGGATCCATATCAGAGTCAGAAAATATCAGTATTGATGTCCCAGCAGCTTTGCTCTAACTGTGAACTTCCTCAGCAGTTTATTTCTCTGTAGAATCATCTTCAGGGAGGTGAAGCTTTTTGCTTTGATACATTTGTGCTCTTTCCTGCTGAAACACACAGATTTTTGTTTTTTCCCTGACCTGTTACAAAAGTGCTACTTTCCTGCCTGAAAGTTCCTGGATGTGTTTTTGCTGTGTTCTCATCATGCTACTGATTTTGTGCTTTAGATTTCATGTTTCTATTCTTTTTTTTTTTTTTTTTCAATTCCTGTTTGACTGCCAGAGGAACGTAAAGCCTGGTTAGGTGCTTGGTGGAGGAAGACAGCTTAGAGGAGTTTCACTTTATAGTCCCAAAGTCATCCCTGATCCTTGTTCACTCTCAGTAACCTGCACAATCAGGTGCTGTTTCCAGCTGGGGACTGATCCATCCCAAATCAGAGGAAAGGAGTGAAGACTTAGAGCAAATACACCAAAAATGAACATTTCTGTATTGAGCACTATGCAATGCTGTTAAATAATTGCCTCTCCCCTATTCAGCAGTATTTTGGATTGTGAAACGGGCTCCCAAGGGAAGCAAGGCACACTTGAAGTGGTGGCTGTGTGCCAGTCCTTCCTCTGAGACTGCTGAACCCGCTGGCAGCTTCAAAGTGACTTTAATCATGATTTCAAAGATACTGTCTTAGCTGACACACCTCACCCAAAACTCAGCTGGCAGAGAGCTGGGACCTGAGTTTGGGCTTTAGTGAGGAGAGACGTGAAATCTGAACCTTCTGGCTGGTAAAGAATATGGCTGATTGTCCCCTCTGCAGGACTAGGGAGGCTGAGGGGAAGAGAAAGGCAGATTGGGAATGCCTCAGGAAAAGCTTTGATCAGACCTGAGCCTCATTAGATTGGAGATAATCCAGTAACAAGATGCAAAACTGAGATAGAAGCAGGGGATGGGGCCTCAAGCTGGGGCTCCTGCAAACCTGCTTGTGCCAGGTTGTGGTACAGGAGGACTCACTGGGCTCCCAACAGCATCCTGCACTTCCAAGGGATCTTTTACTTTGCTCTTGGACCAGTCAGCTGTGCCAGCTGATCAGTATTGATTAACACTTGTTGGATTTTTTTTTTTAATTTTAAGTAAAGGCAGAGTCTCTAGGGAGCTTCATCTTTTTCATAATTCCTGTTTTCAAATCTCCTTTTACTTTCATTTCTTCTGCAATTACAGGGTAGCAGAGGCTGCAGAGTTTCTTGCTGGTTCTCCAAAGGCCTCACATTTAGATTTATGATTTAGTTTTAAACCAAGTCTGTTTGTAATAGATCTGTGCCCATCACTGACCTGATTGGGAAGGCCACAGCAGTGACTATGACAGGTCTTTGCCCTTCAGTTATCCCAGGGTGGGGTTCATGTCACTGTGCTTGGGAGAAGAGGATCCCTGTTCCTGTTGCACAACATAAAAGCTGCTTCAGGGGCTCCTAAAAATTTTACATGGTCCTGCTGTATGTGGTGAGTGTGGATAGTCATTGTCACCTGCAGTTGTCCTGGCTGGCAAAGGCTGGGGTGTGAATCAGCTTTTGTGTGTCTGCAGAGAATTGCTAAGGTTGGAAAAGACCTACAGGATCATTAACCCAGCACTGCCAAGGCCACCTCTAAACCCTGTCCCCAAGGGCCACATCTCCACATCTTTTAGATCCCTCCAGGGATGCTGACTCCACCACTGCCCTGGGCAGCCTGTTCCAATGCCTGACCACCTTTCAGAGAATTAATCCTAATATGTTCCCTAATATCCAATCTAAGACCCCCCCGGTACAACTGGAGGCCATTTTGTCTTGTCTTGTGGCTTTTTACATGGGCAGAAAGACTGACACCATGAAAACCTCCCCAAATACTCCAAAGAGCAGAACAGTGAGAGCAGATAGCAGAGTTGGGACCTGCTCTGTACCTTATTCCTGATATTAAAGGTGTACTGGGACATAGTAGAGCTAAGGGGAGGAGGAAGAATAAAACAAGTAAAAGAAAGTACTTAAAATATCAAGAGTGATTTTCAGGAATTAATTGCTAGAGGAGGTGGTGAAGGCAGCATCAAGATGTGCAGAAAGAGGTGAGAGAAATTCTACATACTGAAAAAAACAGACAGGGGGTTTCCCTGCAGCATCCCTGATCCATGAAAGAGCTATTCCTGTTCTAATGAACTCCAGCAGTGTAAACCCACGTCAGGAGCCTCTGGTTGTGTGTTTTTGCAGAGGAGGACTGTAAGAAGTACTTGCAGAGGAAGCAGGAAGAGGCCAACCAGCCTCTCCAAGTGCCAGCAGTGGACAGCAGCGTGCCAAAGACGTCGGAACTGATGGGCATCACCATCAGGGATGATCCGTATGGTAAGAGCCCCTGCTTCCACTGCTGCCTGGTACCTCCTGTTGGAATCACCTTCCCCATGGGAAGTGCACAAAAACTGTTTGCTTTCATCATTCCCACAACTCTACATACCCCAGGTCAGAATGCTTTCTTAATTTTTCCTGTTTCTTAGAAAGGCAGCCCTGGGAAACACTTCACCCAGGAGCAGGCTGGCACAGAGCCACTGGACTTCACAGAAATATGTCCCTTAGCCCAGCCTGACCCAGAGCAGCAGCTGCTGAAAGCTCAAGGGGTTGGAGCCCGGGGGAATGGTGTCAGAGGTGATTTCCCTGCCTGTCTTTGGCAGGTGGAACCACCTTGAATGAAAAGGAAGTGGGTTTGAAGTAGGACTGGGTGTGCAGTGGGTGGAGAGGGGAAATGGGTTCTGTGTGTGTGCAGCCCTGCATGTGCAGCCAGGTGTGTGCACATGTGTGTGCTGGCCAGTCTGACTTCAAGTGACCACCTTTGCTGCATGTGTGGACATCATTAACCATCCCCAAATGTCCACAGAGCAATATTCTGGTGTTTGTACACAGCAGCTTTGCCTGACGTGACCCCCAGGTTAGCATTGTGCCCTTGCAGCAGTACCCTCAGTCTGACTGACCTGGCAGACATTCCCCTTCTGCTTCACTGCATGCTTCTTGGGCTGAATCTGCCTGCTGGGTTGATACTTTCCTCAGCAGCTTTTAGAGCCTGACCTATTTTTTTCACTGTGGTAGGCTTTAACTGGCATAAAAAATTGAATATATCTGTAGTGACATTGATATGAAAAAAAACTAACACAGTTGGAAACTATCCAGCAGTATTAAGGCACTTAATTATGAGAAACAATGCAGCACTTTAATATTTTGATAACTGCTAAATAACCAAGAGCTGCCAGCCATTAATGTAATTAGAAAACAGGCCCATTAGGATATGACTTCAGGTACCCAGGTTTGATATCTTAGCCATAAAAACGACAGGTTCCAAATTTCAAGGCTCACCCCACAGCTCCATCGACAGCAGATGGCAGGACATTGCTGAATGCTGTTTTTCTTGGGAAGTTTGAATCTCTGTGACCTGAACTAGGGAAAAAGAACCCAGAGCCACAAGGATATTATAGATGTGAAACTCTCAGTGAAATCCCAGAGTGTCAGGGCTCTGAGCTGCATCCCTCCAGCTCCACCCAGACTCCCTGTAGCTGGATGTTACTGCCTCCACAGATTTTGCTTGTCTGCAGCTCCTTTCCCTGACCCCTGCCAGGCAATGTGGTTGTGTGTGAACAGCCTGGCCAGTGAAAGCAGCCAGGGCATTGATGAGTGTTACCTCCTGCCAGCCCTGTTAAGGACAGGAGTCTGGGCTGAAGGGCAGCTCATCTAATAAAAGGCTAAATTACCTTTGCAAGTTTGACCAGAGCTTTTCTGTCAGACTCATGATCCTCTGAGTTAAAGTCTGTGGGAGCTCTTGAAAGTTCACTGCAGGAGTGAACTTCATTTATAGTAGAAGATGACAGCTACATGTTTAATGGTTTCAGGGAGTGGAACAGAGATATTTGATGCCTTCATCTGCTACTGTCAGAAAGACCTCCAGTTTGTCCAGGAGATGATCAGGGAGCTGGAGCAGACAGAGTTCAAACTGAAGCTCTGTGTATTTGATCGGGATGTCTTGCCAGGAGCCTGTGTGTGGTCCATCAGCGGAGAACTTATAGAGAGGAGGTAAGTGAACTGTGGCTGTTGGGGCCAGCTCTGAGTGTAGTGGAACATCACATTCATTTTACAGTGATGTCTGCAGCGTGGTGCCAGTGAAACAGCAAAAATCCACAAGAATGTCTTAATGGGGTTTGCTTTATGCTCTTGGCTCAAGAAGGATGATTCAGGCTTTCCCCAGTGTGTCATTTCATTGTCTTCATGAGGAAGGTGCCACCGTGGTGATGCTGCTTATGTTCAATCTCTTTTCTTTGCCTTGTGTGTCATATATAGACACAGGATCACATAAAGGTTGCACAGACACTCTGGACTTCACTGTTTCCTCATTTTTTTGGTACGTGAGTGCGTATCTGTAATCAGGTTTTTCTGTGTAACATCACTATGTGTCTGTCAGTCATTCCTGCCCTGCAGTTATTTCCTGCTGGAACACAGACAGGTCTTTCTCCACTGGAGCAATTAAAAACCATCTCATTTGACATTTTATTTGTTTTCTCCCCTGTTTAATCTCCAGGTGTCGAAGGATGGTGGTTGTTGTTTCAGATGACTACCTGGAAAGTGACGAATGTGATTTCCAGACCAAATTTGCTCTTAGTCTTTCCCCAGGTAAGATCACACAAATATCCCATTTACAGCTGCACATTATCCTTTTATTACAGTGACATCCAAACCCTCAGCTGAGGTCAGTGGGCCCTGTACCACTGGAACTAACAGGGACTTCATAATTTGGTTGTGCAGGCAGGGGCTTGGGCTGGGTCCCTTGCCCTGCTCCTTCCCTTCCCCACGAGCAAGAAGCTGTCAGTGGGATAATGCTGCCTGCTCCAGAAATGTCAGAGCTGCATGTCAGGCTTGTGAAGGGCTTCCAGACCCACAGGAAAAATTGCTGCTAAGGAGACAAGTAGTATAATAAATCCAGGATGTGAGTAAAGCTGGGAATTAGGTGACAGGTAATGAACATGCAGATTTCAAAGCCAGGCTAGGTGGGGCTCTAAGTAACCTGGTCTAGAAGGTGTCCCTGCCCATAGCAGGGGTATTGGAACTGGATGATCTTCAAGGCCTCTTCCAACCCAACCCCTTCCATTTTAGGATTCTTGCAGGGATCCTTGAGTATTGTGGATAGGTAAACAAAACATGGAATTAATGTTCAACTTAGGTTGGGAAATTTTTACATATTTTGCTCTGAATTGAAAAGCCACCAATTTACTTCTGCCAAGTCTGTTGTGATTGCTCTTTTCTAGCCTGTAGTCATTCTACAGTTGTTTGTGTTGCTGGGGCGTAAGTGCAGCCCAGCCTAATAGTATGGAGGATATGTAGAACTGGGAAGAGTATCTGGATACAAAAATCTCTTTTCTAGATGAGGCATCTGACATGCTATTATAAAGGACATGCCAGAGGTTAGACTGGGAGCTGGTGGCAGAGTCAGGAATTCACTTCATCTGCCTCGACACACTAATTTCATATGGTATCAGTTAATCCACTGAACACTCCCAGCACTTTGTATCAGCCCCCAGTCATCAAGATTTGTAGGAAAGTCCTTTTAGTTCTTCACCAGTTTTTGTGGGCATCACACCTTCCATTAGAACAGGAAAAGAAGTTCCATCTGTATGGAATGCCCTGAGCTCTGCCAGTGAGAACACAGGTGGAAGTAACAGGCTTAGAAAAGTCACAGTATTTACCTGTTTGTTTGGGGTGTTAGTAATGCACAAAAGGGTTTGGTGGCAGGCTCTGGGATCACTCCAGCATCTGCTGCAGTTATGAAATCTTGGTTATTTGCCTCATCCTGGTCTCAGTGTCATCACTTGTGCTGTGGTGCACAGCGCAGGTGGTGGCAGGTGTCCCTGTGGGGAGTTACAAGGGGAGAATCTCCTCTGTGGAAGAGCTGCTCCTTCAAGCAGCAGCAGTCACAGGGAGGGTGCTTTCACCTCACGTGTCTCAAAACCAGCAGTCTGTGTTAGCAGAGGGATTCACTGGGGAACATCTGCAGCCTGAGTAAATCAGGACCCAGAGACTTGCTCTCCAGAGTGAGAGCAGGCTGCACTGTATTCAGATGATGCTCAATCAGGAGCACACCTGGATCTTGTGGTGTTTGTGCTGTGGTGGGGAGGGAATGGATGTGGGCTCTGTGTAACCCTCTCTGTGTGACCTCTCTTCAGGTGCTCGTCACAAACGGCTGATTCCAGTCAAGTACAAATCCATGAAGAACGAGTTTCCAAGTATCTTACGGTTCATTACCATTTGTGACTACACCAATCCTTGCACCAAAAAATGGTTCTGGACGAGACTGGCAAAATCCCTCATGCTGCCCTGATGCAAAGTCCTGAGAGCTGGGTGCTCTTGTAACCTGTCCTGGCTGTGCCTTTGGACCAGGGGTGTCCTTGACACAGGCTCTTCCACCACTTCAGAACCTGGATCCTTGCTTGGAGCCTGAGATTGGGAACAAAGAACTCTGTCCAGCACTTCTTCACAACTATGAGAGGAAATAAAGCAACTGTGTGGGTGTTCCGGGTTAAGTCAGTGAGCAGCAGCATCCAGCATTTGTTGAGTAAGCACTTTCACTAAAAATACTGAAAATACACATCTAAAGAGTGTCTGACACAGGAAGACTCTGTTGTAAGAATTAGCAAGACCTCAGAGCCTCAAACTGCAGGTTTTGTCAATGTATTAAAGCTACAGTAACATCGAGGCTTGTAAGAGTTTTACCATATTGGACAGGTCTCTCTCTATTCAGGTCACATTTGATTCAGTGACCTTATACCAGCATGTAATATTCCCAGATATTACTAAATTTTTACTTCTCCTTCAGGAGAAATTCAGAGTCTTAAAATACATCTTTTCAGTGACAGTCCTTACTGCACAAATCAGGGGCTGCTGTTGCTCATTGACTTGACCAAGGTCTGCACATCAGTGGGTCCAGATCTCAAATTCTTTCACCTTTAAAAACCTTCTAAAACACAGCAGCTTTTGGGATGTCTCAAAGGCACAGAGCTAAACACTGAATGAGTGTATTAAATTGACATTTGGGATGTTTAAAACATGGAAGTGAATGTTACATTAATAGGAAAGAGCCTAATTTAATTAACTGCCACAATAATCACTGTATTTCTGTGACTAAGGCTCGGAGCAATGTCAAGACTGCTCTGCTTATTAGACTTGGCCTTGAATCCTGCCTGTGACTACTGGATCTCATCAGTGCTCCAGGGTGGAGGTCAGGAGTTCTACCCAAAGGAGTGTTTAAAGAGGTCAGGAGTTCTACCCAAAGGAGTGTTTAAAGCAATCCATTGGTGTATTAAACAGATTTACAGTAAATATTGACTTTTAAAGTTGGGGAAGAGAGGAATCTTGCTTGTGTGTCTGCAGTTGCTTGAACTCTGCCCCTTTCTTCATTACTTCAGCCACTGACCAATGTTGATTTTACAGCTTAATGTTTTACTAGTTTACATTTTTAAGGTTGCGTCTGGATGTGATTTTATTTTTTCAATTTCAGCTTTGTTTTAAAGCATTACCAGGGCTGAGGCAGTGTCAGTGTCAGTGAATGAACCCTTAGCAGGGATGCTGCCAAATCCTGTCCAGGTGCTGCTGCTGGTTCCTCCCTGCTGACAGCAGCAGCCCCTGACCTGAGCATGGTGGAGTTCATTCACACACATCATGTTGGCATCAGGAGCCATTTTTGGATAGACCCAAGAGCTGGGTGTTTCTTCTGCAAAAGTAACTGCTGCCATCATGCCAAGGTGACATTTGCACCTTCCTGTCTCGCTAGAACAAGTGAGAAGTCTGTGGGCACGGGAGGAGAAAAGTTAAGCTGATGAGGGGTTTCTGAATAGTTTGTTTTATTGCCTTGGGGGCCTCTCCTGCAGAAGTGGAGACAGCTGCTTGCCTCGGGCTTTCTGCATAATCGTGAAATGTTAATTACAGAAGAGGTTCAGGAGGCTGCTTGATCCCCAGGCGCTCCGGGGGCTCAGTGAGTTTTCATACCCTGGGGAGCCTATAAACATCAATTATGGGTCATTACTGGCAGGATCGAAGCAGATTCCTCCTGCCTGGAGCGCTGGAAGGGCTGCGGTGGCTCCATCAGAGGGGAGCCCGTGCTGTGGACGCTAGAGGGAGGCCATGGCCCACGCTGTGCCCTGCGAGGGATCCAGGAGGGATGGGGAGACACGGCCGGGATGGGCCAGCACCACCGACATGGAAAACCACGAGTGGGTTCTCCTCCTGTTCCCCTTGCTCCCTCTTCTGAGCAAGGGATCCCAAAACCAGCGAGAATTTCGGCAGCTTGAACCTTGTGCGGTATCTTCAGAGTCCTGATGGTTTGGGACTTGGTGTTGCATATGAGCAGGAAAAATGATGAGTTTTGTAATAGAACATTTGGTGCTGGTTCTGGAAGGGCAAGCAAACAGAGGAGCTGAATTTCTAAATGTTTTTGAGTTCAAATAGATAAATGCCATATTCCAGTTAGTGGTGAAAGATGTTGGGATCTTATTACCACCCTGCTTGTGGTGCCCTCGCCCTTCCCTCTGCTTGGCTTGGATGCTGGGAAGGTCTTATTGTTATGGGGCTGTTGCTTTATTACAAGTTACTATTTATCTTATAGGCTAAAATAATGATTTTGGGGTAAAGAAACATAATATATGCTTTAAATATGTATCCTTTTCTATGTAAACCCCAGAGTTTATGCACTTCCGACACTTCCATATCTGTCTTGTCACAATGACTTGAAGTGTGACATTTTGAATGATATAAAATATAATTGTTGTGAACCATTTGCCCATTTCAGTGGCATTTTGGGTGTTCCTCCCCTCTTTCATGTTCAGTGGAAGGGGAAAATTTTTGAACACATTTAAAAAAGGGATTTATAAAATTGTGTTGTTACAGGGTTTATTTTGTTTCTGTCCCTCATTGAAATTGTCTTAGTTGAGTCTGTTAGTGCCAAATCATTTATTTTTATATACAGACATATATATTTATAATAATTTTGTGTCCTGATACAAAGGGGGGAAGCATCTGTTTTTATAGGCATTCTGAAAATAGAAAATGTTTCTGTTTTTCTCCTCAAAAATCCAAACTTTTGCTACTTGTGAAAACCTTTTAAAATAAAGGATGAAAACCCAGCAGGCTGAATCTGCTTTGTGGGCATCCAAGAACAAAACACTGTCTCAAAATGAAGTTTTAAGTGAGGAATGATATGGGATAATTATTTTCTTTTCATGTTTTGGCTAAGTAACTTCATCAGAGGGGATGATTGGCTGTGCCTGGGAGAGAGAGAAATAGAGTTATGCCCTGCTAAGGAGGAAAATGTATCAAGGAATTATACTTCAGACATGTGGTTCCTCTCCAGGTCTCATTTTTTATTTAGTGATCTGTGTTGCCATCCTGGATTTCTTCAGGCTGGGAGGGATGGAGCCAGGGCTCTGTTGGGATGCTGCTCCTGGTCCACACCCTTCCAGCAGGGATTATGAGGGGGCAGCAATCCGGGGGATTCTGCCAGTTTTATTTCCTTTGCCTTGCCGTCAGTCCAAGCCAGGGAAGAAACTCAGGAACCCAGCAGCTGCCACAGGAGAAGATGAAGGATCACTGCACCACAGAAGTGAAGGAATTCCTGGAGGTCGAGGCTGAGCTGCTCTTCCCCATGGGAGGGGCCATATAAAGCACATGAAGTCATGTCTCTGCTATGGCTGCTATGAACATATGGACAGCAGTATGGAAACCATCCCTGCGTGGATTATTCTAGATGGACACTGCTGGCAAGAGCAGCCTGCCAGGAGGGTCCCATTCCCTGGAAGTGCTGGTATCCATCCCATCATTCCCAGTGCAGCTTCACACACTGCCCTGTTCTGGGGTTTGGAGCAGTTAATGATTCTTGTCTGTATTTCAGCCTGAGCTCTGATTTAGGGCAGGTTGAGGAGTCCAGCAGCAGTGGCTCTTTTCCAGCTGTCATTCCCCTTGTGCTGAAGAACTATTCCCAGTCCTCTGTTTTACTTTGCTGCAAAAATGTTGCTGCCATTTCCTCATTTACTGAAGGGTACAGCATTTACCTGGTGAAACTGCTGCAGAGTGTTCTCAGCTTCAGAAAGAAAGGGTGAGAGGTCAAGGATTGACCTCGCTGCATCAAATTCCATCCTTCATTTTCACCAATGTGTCAAGAGTTGTGTTACCATGGGGGAGGCACTGTTTGGTCCAGAGGGCACATTTACAGGAATAAAATTAGCATAGGGAAGAAAGAGTAATTATGCATAAAAAATAGCTGGGAAAATGTTACTTGAGCATCCTGGAAACAGTTTTTAATAAGGCAATAAAAACCAAACCCCACAAGGTTCACACTGCTGGGAAACATGCTCATAGAATTTATTAAAGAGCACCTCTGTCACACCATTTGGGGCTTTATAACATGTGCTGTGTACAAATATTTCGCTAAAGGTAATTTTCTCTAGGTGTTACAACCATTTTCGTATCCCCACTAGGACTTTGAGATGACTTTGAACCCAGCCCAACCTCTTGATCAGCACTATCAAGCCCAGCCCTGGAAAAACTTGTTTATTTTGCAACAAAATCTGCAGTCAGGGGACTGAATAGTGTTGTATTCACTCTGGGGCTGTGTTGTGCTGTGAAAGGTTAATTAATTGAAGCTGTGTTTAAGTCTTAAGCAGTTCCAAAGTCTGATTTACTAACAATGCATTTTCTGTTCTGCAGCAGAACCCAGCTTAGCAGTGCCTTTTCCTCATCCTGTTGCCCTTATAAAGCTGCTCAGGCCATGGCAGAGCTTGGGGCTGTCCTTGCCCACCCTGATCCTTCTATCTCAGCTGCGCAGATTGTTTCCACAAAGGCAGGGGATGCATCCCTGCAGTTCAGATCATGAAGTTTGTACCAGCTGCTCATGGAGTCTCTCCTGCCTCACAGCCAGTGGAAGGGTTTTGATTCCCATTTCCCCAGTTCCAGTCTTGCTCAGGGTGGGTTTTGGCAGGGCTGGACTGGAAGGACGAAATGAACGTATCTTAAACTTAACTGTGGCTCTCTATAAAAGGTTGCTTGGGACTTTTTCCTGCTGCTTCCACACACTTTCCCACTGCCTTGGAGAGCAGGACAATGTGCAGTGTGTGCAGCTGAGCCCAAGGACAGCACAGCTGTTCCATCCTGTGCTTCCAAGCCTCCCCTTCCCAGCAAACAGAGAACCCCCAGTGAGGAGGCAGGTGGCAGATGGCTCCAAGCACAGAGGCACTGGGAGGAAAATGCAAGCGTTTTCTCAACAGCCCAAACCGTGCCTGACCAGACAGATTTTGCACAGCTCTCAGTCCTTCCGTGCATTCCCACAAGAGTAAAGGAGTGTCTGGCTGGGTGCCAGCCTCCAGGGAAAGATGCACTGGGTCCTGCTGGCTCCTCAGGGGAGTGGCTGCTTATTCACCTGTGCCGAGAGAGCAGGAGGGCTTTGCAGAGGAGGCAGTGGGTGACATGATACAGGACCACAGGAGAACCCTTCCTTCAAGACCAGTGAGAACATGGAGGCTCAATGCTACCAATCTTCTGTGGTTTCTTAATGAAATCAAAGTCATGAGGTGATAAAATAGGTCTTTATCCACTGTTTAGGATGTTAGTCAGGAATTCATGGGGAATATATTCAGGCAAATGTGGGGTTACCATGTAGTGAACTTACACAAAATGTTTGCAGCATTTTTCTGGCTCTGATCTTCAGCTCTGTCCACCTTCTGTCTGTGTCAGCAGAATGAGATCTATGAGCTGCAAGACCTGAGGTGTTTAACTGCTCATGTGTCATTTCTGAGGCTGTTGCCTCAGAAACAAATACCAGTCAGGAGGGGAAAAACTGGGAAAGCAAACTTGGAGTTCCACATGCTCCTCCCTGTCCCACTGGGGCCATGGTAGAGCCTCCAGACAGCTTTACAGCAAAATTTTCTGAAGTATTCAGAAATTTGGGTGACATATTTAAAACTATCTATTCATGGAAGATTTAGTGTTTGATTTTCGGTAGCACTTGACAGAGACCTACCCAGTGAATATACAGGGAAATGAGATTTCAAGTGCTTTGAGCCAAGGAATAAACTGGACATTGGCCTTAAAATATCACTGTCTCAGTATCTCTAAAAACTTGCACAGGTATGTAAAAACTATAATTTTTCAATATCAGTAAAGGGCTTTTGAGGTCTTTAGAAAGGCAAAAAAGAGAAGCATCACATTTTTTACTTTAAATCTATTTAGTCTTAAAATTAATATTCCTAACAGTTATCCTCTAGACTCCTTGGTGCCCTCACCTTTTTTCTAGCACTGCACCTGGCATCTGCTCAGCTGTGTTGTGTTTTTGAGCATCAGGAGTGGAAGATTTTCCCTCTCAGAATCTCCTCATCAGCATGCTGCTCTTGGCAGACGGGCTTGTCTTCAGCTCCAAGACATGCATATTGATCAGTCATTTCCTTTTGTTACCTTGCATCCTGCCATCGATTTTAATTGTTCCCTACTGAAGAGGAAGCATTCAGTACACTTACAATTACCAACGACAAAATTTTTGCTTTCCACACCTTTTGCCAGGCATTGCCTGCGCTCAGCTCTCAAGAGCTGTGGATCTCTCTCCCTCTCAGCAAGCAGCAATCTGTACAAATCATGCAGCAGTCAATTTGTGTCTATTAAATAAATTTCTGATTCTCTGTGACAGCTTTCTCTGCTGCATGATTTCACACTTCAGCAGTTTGTTTCTGAGGTGCCACGTGGGTTTTTTTCTTTTTTGAAGGGGTGGTGGTGATAATCCATTTTGTTTGCTGATACCTTACTCATGTCTTCCCAGATCCTCTTTCCTGTACAACTTCAAATGACCACTAGTGATTCTCCTCTTGTGGCTCCTCATCAGCCCACAGGGCTGTTCCTGGGCTGTTCCCTGGAGTTTCCTGCTGCTGAAGTGGAACAGCTTCTCCAAGACAAAGCTGAAGCTTGGTCCTCTACGTCCCACCCCTATGGTGCAAAATACCAAAGCTGGGAACTGCTGTGATTCATTAATTCCTCTCCTTCTTCTTTCCAGATACCTTCTGAGATTGTTCCCATCTTTTAAAAACATTCCTGCACTCTCAGAGGGATTTCATTGCAAATATTTTCTGAAGGTCTTGTGTGGAAGGACCTTGGTCCCCTCCCACTGTCTCTCTGATTCTAGTTTTTCCTTTAGATACACAAAAAGGATCCTATTTTTAGCAGCTGCAGTCAATGGCACAGGAATTCACGAGTAGGGAGGAAAGGATGTGAACTATTGAAATACATTTTTTTTCAAATGAGATCTCTTTACATTCCTATCACCACAGTAATAAGCCATGAGTCACTGTTACACTGAACTATTAGACCATTATTGTAAACTCATGTCACTAGAATCTGCTAATGTGAACCATAAACCTTGCCTGCCCTCCACGTTGCTGGGTTTGAGAAGATATTAGCCATTTATAAGGATAAGAACAGTATTCCCTCACAAATTTTATTCCCAGATGGCAAGAAATGAATGAAATCTTATTCAATCCTATCTTTCTCTTCCTAGGGTTTCTTTTCTCATTGCCTTTTAAGAGAACTTCTCTTAATTCACTGTAACATTACAAAAGAAGTTTTATTTGATTTCTTCCAAGTCTGCCAACTGTAAATTGGGTCCAAGCACTCCCAGCTGAGAGAATATCCATGCTGTACCACCTGGGAGCACTTCCAAAAGCTGCTTTCTGTGCTCAGTCCTGCCATGGCCAACCCTCCCTGCCACTTGCTGTTGCAGCAGAGAAGTCCCAGGTGTCCCTGGGTATTTCAATCTCCTTCTGAGGGTCTGTCAGGGGTAGTGCCCAGACTGACTTTTTTCCAGAAAAGTTTTGCTGAATAATATTATGTCAGAATGGTCTTAAATACAGTGTTTTTAAGTCTTTGGCCACCCTTCATCAGCTGCAGAAGGGTCAGGCCAGATGTATCCACTTGTCCAGCACGGTCTGGCTGCTTCCACCAGGCTTATTTTGCACTTTTAGGAACCAGGGAAAAAGCTCTGAAACACATTCTCATCCCTGTCCTGGTCAGCTGCTTAAAAAATGCTTTATGATGGAGATTTACCCTCCACAGAAGAGGCTGGTGGGAAAACCTTTCTGTCCTCAGAAGCTGTGACATTCCCAGGGTGAAGAGAGGTACAGGCATGTG